GTACATGTACACACACACCCCATAGCCCCTCCCCGCCCCCCAGTACAGGTTCACACACACCCTATAGCCCCCCCCCCCGGTACAGGTACACACACACCAGGTCAGCTCCATATCACCGGTACACGTGCACACACACCCCATACGCTCCCCAGTACATATAAACCCCCAAACACCCCCAGTACAGGTACACAAACACACCCCAGTACAGCCCCATACCACCGGTAAACGAAACGTCCACACACATCCTTACACCCCCACTACACGCGCACACACACACCCCATGACACCCGCACACACCGCTCCTCGCCGCACTGACCCCCTGCCCCACACCCCGGCCCGGCGCACACCCCCAGCCCCACGTGGCCCGCGCGGGGCCCCTCCTCCCCACTACCTGGGCCGCGCCTCCCGGAACAGGCCCGTCAGCCGCCGCACGGTCTCCAGGCAGCCGGGGGCCGACGAGGCCTCCGAGAGCCGCTCCGCTCGGGCGGCGAGTCCCAGCTGCTGGGCCAGAGCGGGCAGCGCCGCCTCGGGCCCGGCCGCCGCCATCGTGCGCCTCGTCCCCGCTCCGCCCCCTGCCCCCGAGCGGCGCGGGGGTAGGGACTGCCCGGGCCCGGCCCCTGCCGCTTGGCCACACGTGGGAGGGCCCGGCGTGCGTGTGCGCGAGTGAGGCACGGACATGCGGGGGCGTGTGCACACTGACATGTATGTCCCACGTGCGTAGCGTGTACCCATGGGCGTGTGTGTGCAGATGTCTGTGATATCTGAGGACGTGCTAAATATGTGTACACACACGCCCATGGGTACATGCTACGCACGTGGAACATACATGTCAGTATGCTAAATATGTGTACATCCATGCGTGTGGATATGCATGTGTGCGTGCATGCACGTGTACAGCTGTGCGTTGATAGGGGTGAGATCCTGGGGTTAAATTCAGCCGGAGCCATCCAGAGTGGAGCTCCAGTAAAGATTTTCAAACCCGCAGGAACCCGTCCCTGGCTCGCCCCGGGGCTTTGGGAAATAGTGAGAATTTAAGGCCTGGTGATATCTGTATATGCATGCGTGTAGCTGTGTGTACATGCACGCGTGTAGATGTGTGTATGAGTGTGCACATGTGTGAGTGCATGTGTGCAGCTACGTGTGATACCATTGGTGTTGAGATAAGTGTACATGAGGGCTGGCCATAAATTACATAATGCATTACTGGAGGGATGGGTCCTTAATTTTGCATGACAGAATGTTTGTTTCAGTGTTATAAAGTTTTACAAAGGAGTGGGTAGGTCTTGAAAATCACAGAAGGTGTTGCCTAATTTGTGGACAGTCCCCACATGTATGTGAGAGACATATAGTAATTTTAAATATTTATTAGACGTAAACAAAAACCCAAACTCAGGGAATGAGCAATTAAGTTTCCATCACCAAATAAAACAGAGAGATGTTTGTTGCTTCAAGCAAAGTCCAACTACCATGCAGTCTACCTTAAAGGTAGGCTTGGAAGGATTCAGTTTTTAATCGGTAAACATTGATTTCACCATACACAGAAACAGACAAAAATATTTCCATCAATAATAATTGAAATTTGCAGGTAAACTAAGTAAAATGCTGCTTGAGAGCTTATTAGAGTTTGACTTAAGGATATTTACTTTGTATTTTTTAACATGTGATGTTGACAGTTTGTGTTCTAATGACTATAACACTTTAACCTTTTGACTCTCAATGCCTACTGTCGTTAAATATTTTTGGATCCCCCATTGTCTGACCACCCCATATTTTCCCACAGCTATGAAAATTTAAATTGACAAAAATAGAAAAAATTGCTTAAAAATAAACATTGATATTAGCCATTGAAATTATAAAAAAATTAAAATTAAATTCTGCCAAGCCTAATTAAAGGATTTTGATTAGTGGTGTGTAGCTGTTGTTGCCTCTCTCCTATTCAATTGTATGTGTAAATCTTGAACATTTATGTCTTCTACAATCAGTGGGAAGCTGAGTATGTCATGGAAGTTACAGATTCTCTGATATTCTGTCTTCTTTTTTTTTTTTCCCTTGAGCACTGTGATTTTTCCTTTTTTCATTTCCTCCATCACCAACTTTGAAGACATGCCACTGGCAGTGGGAGGAGTGTGAATACCAGTGCCTAACCTAACCTAGCAGCAGTGGAGGTGAAGGTTCCCCATCCAGAGGTAAAACATACTCTGGCTTTATGCTAGGTTTTTTTGCCTCAGATTTCTTACCATTGCCGACCCACTTCAGCTCAGCAAGTAGCAGCAATGTTGGAAGCTCTGGCCTCTCCACCAGCCCTTCTGCTGGCTGCTCATCAGCCACTCATTCACCAGCTGACTGTCAGTTGCCTTCTGCTGCCACCTGCCTCTCTTCTGTGACCTCAGCACATAAGTGTCTTAGTAATTTTCAGCTCTTTGCAGGCAGGGCAGAAACACTGCCCTATCTCAAGTGATTTTTAGCTCTTAGCAGGCAGAGCAGAAACAGAGTCCTACCACAACTGATTTCAGCTTTGATTGAACAGCTAACATAACAAAGAGGCTCCTAATGAAACCTATTTATTTTTAATTATTTGAACAATGGGGAGAACCAGATTAAACCAGACTCAGGAAAATCTTTGACAAGGGTATACAGCCTCTTAGATAGGATACCTATCCCCCATTTATTTTCACAGGGCTCTGACATTTGAGCCCCTGGCTTAACGAGATTCTTTCAACTGAGGGTGGCCCCCTCATTTGGGACAGGTTAAGCATGGTCCTGCTTTCCTACAATACAGGGAGTCCTCGAACATATGACACCCAACTTTCATTGGACACCACTTACGACGCTTTTCAATTGACAACCCATTTCTCCCCTACAACCCTTGTTTTGCCCTTACGATGCTCTATTTGCATAAAGTTCGCTTGAAATCACTTCCTGATTGTGTTATACTGGTATGGAGCTGGAAGGGATCGCTTCTGATTGGCCTTGAGGCAGCAGAGTAGCTTGTTGCCGGGTAGGGTTGCTGCTTGTTTTTGATTGGTTCCCGGCCCTGGGCTCAGCCAATCAAAATGCTTGAACAGTGATTGGCTGAGGCTCAGCATGTGTGCCATTCTCCCTGGTTTTCTGAGCCTGTGTTGCCAGCATTCGGAGCAGCATATGTGAGTTTATATGTTTATGTGAATGCTGTTTACAAAATACAGTGTACAGTAAATACATTTGATGTTACAACATCAGTCAGATATTCATTTAGTACAAAAATCTGGGTGGTGAAAATAGTGTATCAAGCGTTGGTTCAGGAACCAATTCTCCCTTCATACCATTGATTCCTATGGGAAAAGTGGTTTCAGCTTACAATGTTTCGACTTACAACGCAATTCTGAGGACCAAATTGTGTCATAAGTCTGAGAACTCCCGGTAATTACAACATTGGTAACCATATATCACTACCCCTGCATTCAGTACTAAGGTGATTTGTACCCAACACCAGCTAAAGTTCATCACTTCGACACCACTGTATCTGCTGAATATATGCAGAGCAGGAGCAAACTGTTATGTACATAAACACACCCAAAGTCTCTCCCCCTCCCAGCTAGCTGTCAGGGAAGCATTCATTCAGACCCTGCTTACAAACATATTGCCTTTTCCTTTAGAAACAAATTCAGTTGTCATCCCTCCTGAGTTAGACTAGAGGTAAACTTCTCTTCCTCCTGCATTAATATCCATCAGTGACCCTCTTGTTTTTCATGATTGTCAATCACCAGGGTTGAAGCCAGCCTGGACATGTTACTTGGGCATGTATCGACAAGTAGTGCTTGAAGGTTACACATAAACAATAAGATTTGTACAAATATCAAGTGGAAATTAGTTAGATAAATAAGAACTATCAGTTGATATTGATTAAATTAAATAACTGGACAATATGGCCTAACTTTTCACAAACCCCCATGATTTTTTACAACAGTTCCTGTGGCAAACTGACAAGCCTACACATTGAAGTACATTTCAAAGGCTGTCTTTATCTCTGAAAGAGCTAGAAACTTTTGTTTGTTTCTTTGAATTGGAATGGAATCTCAAAACTGGTGGAACAGTTGCCATGAATGAGATCCCAGGTCCATCTAATTGAGTACCCTGTGTCTGACAGTAGCCAACACCAGCTGCTTCAGAGGAAGGTGCACAAATCATTGCAATACACACTTTTGGAATAACTTGCACACAGACAGAGGTACTTTCTTCATAACCCTCATTAGTTTAGAGGTTGGCTTATACTAACTTGATATTCTTGTTATGCATGTAACTGTCCAATTCTTTTTTGAATCTTGCTATACTCTTAGGTTCAATGATACCTTGTAGCAGTGAGTTTCACAGGCTAATTGTGTGATCCTTTTATCAGTTGTAAATTTGCTGCCTTGTAATTTCATTGAATACCCCTTGTTCTTGCTTTATGAAAGAGGGTAACCAGAAGTTCCCTATGTATCTTTTCTATGATATTCACTATTTTGCATATTTATCATTTGCTCCCTTAACACCTGTTTTTGGACCCCCCTCTATTATTGGGACATCCTTTCTGAGGTAGGGTGACAGTATTCCAGGTGAGGGTGTACCATTGACTGGAGCTTGTAATATAACTTCTGCGAGAGATATGGTGAACAACATGTACTGAGTTCACCTCCACTAAAAACAGCATTCGGACATGAATTTGGGTAAAATAATCACCGTCACTAGTTATCTTTGATGATTTATGCATAAAATCAGTTTTGAAGTTTTTACAAGTTCATATTGAGTTATGAGTAGATTAAAAAAATTATTTTCAAAAGAGAAAAACCAACATTTCATAATCGTCATTATTTTATATTTATTTGTATCATGATAGCACCTAACCACCCCAATCAGCAGTTAGGGCTGCATAGCGCTAGGCAGTTTACACACAATAAAAATCCAGTCCCTGCCCCAGAGCTTGCAATCTAAGCAATGTAAGTTTTCAAAGTCTTATAGTATAGCTCAAATATGGCTTGTCTAATACATTGAGAAAACTTCACCAAAAAGAAAAAAACTATCCCCTGGCTATAGTGGAATAGCCTTTTTGACAAGTTTTATGCAGGGCTCCCAGAAATAGGTTTTGCATTTTTCTTAGAAGGCCCTGAGGTTTCAGGTCAGGCATTGAGAAATTGTGTCACACTCTGGAGGTTGACAGTTCCACTGTTCTAGCAAAGCGTAGCTGTTGTGGGAGGTCATAACCATGCAGGGTGAGAGAGTTCATCATCATTTGGGCCCCAGCTCTCCAATATCCCTCATTTTATGGACTCAGACTCACAGAAGGGACCATCATGATCATCTAAACTGACCTCCTGCACATTGCGGGCCGCAGAATCTCACCCTCCCACTCCTGTAATAGACCCATAAACTCTGGCTGAATTACTGAAGCCCTCAAATCTTGATTTAAAGACTTCAGGGTATGTCTACACTACGAAATTAGGTCAATTTAATAGAAGTTGATTTTTTAGAAATCAATTTGATACAGTCGATTGTGTGTCCCCACACTAAGCGCATTAAGTCAGCGGTGTGCATCCACAGTACCGAGGCTAGCATCGACTTTCGGAGTCTTGCATTGTGGTAGCTAGCCCACG